CCCTCCGCATCTCTGGCCTGTACCCCAGTTCTGTACAAATAAATAATAAATAAATCTTTAAAAAAAAAAAAAAACAGTTTGAAGTAGCAAGCCCACAGTGGCGTTCATGTGGTAGGAGATGCTGCGGGAGCAGCGTGGAGGGCGACTGGAGAGCCCCAGCCTGGGCGCCCTAAGGCTACTGCTGCAGTTCAGTTCTGCCTGAGGGCAGCTGGGTCCCAGAGCCCCAGGGGTGTAGACGTGGGAGCCCAGCCCTGCCCAGGGGAAGAGGGCCGTTCACAAGATCCGGGTTTGAGGTAGTTGGAGCCCTGGGTGTCCGACGGAGGCTGGGCTCAGGCGCGGGAACCTTACTGGCAGGCCTGGGGCTCAGAGCTAGCTGGCGGTGCTTGCCCAGACCCGGGGCCGGCCCGGAGCCTCGTGCCCCTGCGCCGGGCAGGTGGGCCGTGGGCTCTGCCGTATGGCGGGCTCTCCAGGCCGAGCACCCTGCTGCCTGAGGCAGGATGAGGAGCGGGTGCGGGTGCTGAGGCCTCGTTGTCCCCTTTCACACCCCTTTCACCAGCAAGCAAGCCAGTGCCAGGTTAGCGGGAGCAAACCGGGAAGCCGACGAAATGCCTCGTTCCCAAGCGCGGCTGGTCCTGGGGAGGCAGTGATGGGGGAGCGGCAGGTGCTGTCCCAGGCGGGCTCTGGGTGCTGGCTGCCGAGTAATGGCTTCTGCGAGGTGCACTTCCATTTCTGAGGCAGTTCGCACACAGATTCATAGAAAGACAGTTTTCCAGCCTCAGAGAAAACACAGCTTTGCTTTGCTTTGCTTTTTCGCCTGTCTTCCTCCGGCTCAAGCAAGCGCCCCTGAGCCAGCGGAGGGAACAGCGCCCGTGAACGGCCCCCCGCGCCTGGGAGGGGCCCACGAGTACTCCAGGGTGTGGGCGCCGCAGGTTTTGCTGGGCACGAGTCCTCCTGCCCTTTACCCAGTGTTGCCCGACATCAGAGTGCCGTGCCCCCGGCTGGTTAATTTTATCTTTTAAAATGTGATAGGCATGTTGGGGGGCAGGAGGAAGGCATGTTGGGGGGCAGGAGGAAGGCAGCCTTGTGCTCGCAAGAAACGAGCTGCAGTCTCTTCCCGGCGATGCCCAGTTTCGGGACACAGATCTGTTGGGAACTGGCACACAGGAACCCCCGGCACCGTGAGGACTGTTTATTGCGGGCGGATCTTTCGGTTCCTGCCTCGCCCACAGGCTTGCTTGCTCCCCGTGCCCTCTCCTGTCCCCCGGCCCGGTCTGTGTGGACATGGCCGGTAGCCCCCGGGCCCCCACACGTCACGTGGCGTTTCCACTTTTCCGTGGCTGCCGCAGAGGCAAGTGAACGGCCTGCTTTCCGGCAGGTGCTGCGCCTTCCCCCGCAGACTGTGATGGCGCTGCACCGGGCCGTCTCCCGGCAAGGGGCGCTGCTCTCTCTGCGTCTCATCCGCCCGACACCGGAGGCCCCGCCGTGGCCCCTGCCCCGCAGACGGGCGTGGGGCGAGTGGGGTCCCCTGCTGCGGGCCTGGCTGTCTGCCCCCCGCGGCCTGTGCCCCTGGCCCTGGCGCCTGCTCCGCTGTTCTCGGGAGTGAGCGCAGAGCTCGCGCTGGGTGTTCCTGTCGCCTCTGCGTCTCCAGAAATGGTGAGAACAGTGTCGGGGTGGAGCTAGCTCTTCACCTTCCTCCTCACTTAACTCGGACTCCCCTGTCTTTGCCTCTTGATGAAACACCGGCACCTTCTGCTCTCCAGAGCTGAGCAAGCTACTTACGTGACACGCTAAGTACACTTCACTAACTCAGCGCGGGAGGGACAGGCGGGACGTGAAAGGGTGGGGAGGTGTGAGGAAGGACCCCTGAGGCCCTCCAAGATGGACCTGCTGCCCAGCCACCCTCTGCGGAGGGACGAACGGTGGGCTCCGGAGGAGCGGCGGGGTGGCACCGGGGAGTCCATTTTTGTCGGAGACCAGCTCCAGCTATTGAGGTGTCTGGAGGCAGGACAGGCAGGACCCTAAGGTGGGAAGGCGTCGGCGAGCGCAGATTCCTATAAAAGGGGAAAGGGGAGAGAAAAGGGGAAAGGGAGCGAGGAAGACACGGGAGTCGGAGTTGGGTATATATATTTATATATGTAAATTTTTAAATCATAGTAACTTTACCAAGTAAAACCAAGCCATACTGTTTTTGAGACAATTTTTAAAACTCCAATGTTGGAAAGTCGCATTTGGGCTGGCCGACATGTACTCTGGACTGCTAAAAGGAAACCGCCTTGATGATCTGTTGGAGGTTTTAGTGGTGTCCGAAGATGTGAGGGAAAGCAATTGATGACTGATAGTAAGTAAAAAAGAAGGAAAGGGAGAGTAGTTTTGTCTAAAAATTAAAAGGGTTATGTCAGAATGTAAAAGAATAAAAAAAAGGCAAAACTTGAGGGCAGGTAGTAAGTCGGACTGCTGCGGGGAAGCGCGGTTCCGCGACTCCGTCGCCCTCCCCGTCCCCAGCTGCCACCATGCTGACCTCGCGGCCTCTCTCTCCTCAGGTTTCGCCGGCACGCCTGGATATCTGTCCCCAGAGGTGCTGCGCAAGGACCCCTATGGCAAGCCGGTGGACATGTGGGCGTGCGGTAAGGATGCTTCTCTACGCCGTCAGTACTGTGGCCCTTAGAGCGTCGTCCGCGTTTGAGGGGCCCCCTGAGAGCAGAGGCTCTGGAGCTGTGGGCCGACCACAGAAGGGCCGGTCACTCAGATTGCTGAACTCTTGACTCAGCCGTACCCGGAGCGGGAGGGAGGCTGATGCCGTGGGCCGGGTCCCAGGGGCTCCTGGGCTCGAGGCGCTTCGAGGACGGGTCCCCGAGCACCTCCGGAGGGGCCGTGCTTTGGGGCTCTCCCCTCCCCCTCGCCCAGGAAGCTCTTACAAGTGTCCTGTGGGCGCGGGGCCTGGGGGGAATGGCAGGTTCTAGGGAGAATGAGCGGACTGTCCCTGGACACCGGACCCCTGACGCAGCCGACTCCTGTCTCAGTGCTGTCCGGTGTTGCCGCCGGCGTCCGCCATGGGGGAGTCCCACTGGCCCCCGTTAACGGGTTCAAGAAGGCCGGAGGGCGCCAGGAGGGCGGCACGGACCCGCGCTCCCTGGGGTTCTTGCAGGGGCTCAGAGTCCAGGTTCCCGCACGGCGACAGGACTCCGCTCCCTGAAGCGTCCGGCTTCGGCTGTCCGTCTTGTTGGCTCTGGCTCGCTGACCGCAGGCCGCTGTTTGATCTCTGGCCGAGCTGTCTCGAGCGCTCAGGTCGGCGCCCCCGCTAGGGAGCGGTAAGGGGCAGCCCTGCCCGTCGTCCAGCGCGTGGGGTCAGGGCACAGCGGTGCCCTCCGCCTCTGTCTCCGTGACGCTCGGAGTGCCGCCCCTGTGAGCAGGAACATACTATCCTCCTGGGCCAGGAGGAGGATGGAGCAGGGCGCAGTTATCAGCCAGTGCCGCTCCCGGCGTGTAGGGCAGTTTGCAGCGTGAACAGCGGTCATGACTGTAGGTGGCTGGAGCCGTCGTCACTTAGTGAGAAGTAAGGTTCTCGGCGTGGCCCGCCTGTCTTCCCTGCCTGCCGGAGAAGATCTGAGCGTGCGCTCTCCCTGCCTTCAGCCCAGACTGTCGTGAGCGGACGTCCTCGCTCAGGCCCAGATGCGGGTGGCGGACACCTCAGAGCGTCTCCCTTGCAGTACATCAGCCCCCGTCACAGAGCTCCTGCTCCTGAGCGCGGACGCAGCCGAGGCGCCCAGAGAGGCGGGCGGGCAGCGGGCGCGGGGCAGAGAGCTCGGCCGGCTGGGGGCTGCTGCTGCAGGGCGGCGGGCAGGGCGGGGGGAGGCGCGCCGGGTGGCTCAGCTGGCCACGCCTGTCTTGTCATCCCTCTGTGCTGCTGTTTCCTGGCTCGCTGTGTGCTCCTGTCCCTCCCCGTCGGCTTCAGAGGTGGAAGGCCGCGTGCGCGGGCTGCAGGGGCTCGGCCGGCCCTTCCGGCCTCCTGCCGGGGCGTGACTGGGCCCGAGCACCGGGCTGCGCTCCCGCCCGGCCTGCAGAGCCGAGGCATCGCTAGCACCTGCCTCCCGGGGCTGCCGAGAGGGGTGTTTTCGTGTAGTAAGCGTCAGCTGGTGTCATAGAAAATGTGTGTTGTTTATTTTTTAATATATTCATTACGTCGTCCTTCATTTTGGTCTCATGTATGATTCCCTGTGTAACTCCCACCACCGGGTCACCCGTGCACCACCACCACCGTCCCTGGTGCTCTTTCCACTCCTGCTGTGACCTTTCTCCCTCCTCTTCCCCTACAGAATGTCTCCATTTATAGCTGCCTGATGGTTTGATTTTCATTTTATGAGTTACCTTTTTTCCTGATTCATTTTTTGTTTGTTTTCTCTGCCTTCCTCCTATAAGTGAGACTATTCAATATGTTTCTTTTTCTTTCTGTCTTACTTCACTGAGCATTACCCCTTCCAGCTCCATCCTTGTTGCAAAGGGCATGAGTTTGTCCTTTTTGATTGCCGTGTAATATTCCACTGTGTAAATATACCAATCTTCTTGATCCAGTCATCTGTTTTTGGGCTTGTGGGTTGCTTCCATAGCTTCCCTACTGTAAACTGTGCTGCGGTAAACATAGGTTTGCAGGGGAAAACACGGCTTTACAAGTGAACGTTTGAGAACACTAGATGTGGTGAGGCAGACTTAGCCCAGATGTTGGAGTAGGCGAGCCTGTGTTAGTATTGGAAGTATCAGACAGTGGGGAATGCATCTCATGACCCGAAAGCGCTGTCCCTGCTTTCTCTGTTCGGATGTCCATTCTTTGCTCGTGTGCCTTGGATTCAAAAGACATGACTGGGGTCCAGCTTCCCAGCTCCGGATTCCCATTCCATGCATCGAAACATTTTAAATAGACTGTTAATTTGGTATTGGTGAACATCTGCGAATTTCAAAGCAGCCACAAAAGCGGACTCTGGGTGCTCTGCATGCTGCGTGGCCTGGTGCTCACACAGAGAAAGTGCACAGCGCCTGCCGGCCAGGCCGGTCATCCGCCGAGTGCAGGCAGCTGCGTGTTTGGTGACCATCACGTGCCCGGGTTTGTGCTGGCCGTCAGCCTCTCTGGGCACTGAACTCGATTTCCAGATTCCCTTGTCCTTTGGGCACTCGTGACTCTGGGCTTTGAGTGCGTTTTGCATATTAAGTGGCCTAGCTCCCCATCTGTGAAAGGTGAGGTGTTTTGCAGCATGAGCGGTTCCATAGTGGCTGGAGGAGGGGGAAAAAGAGAGGTGGGAAAAGTGGTCGTCTCCCTCCTGGTTCCTGAGCTTCAAAACGTCCCTGGCGTCTGCCCTAGCGCACAGGTGGACGGGAACGTGTGTGGGGCGCGTGGGCGCCCCTGCCCCGCTCAGCGTGAGTGACCGTCTGCCGGCGTGGGGCCCAGCGCGTAGCAGGGGGATGCGAGGCGATCGGGAGCGTCGCCTTAG